ACAAACATGTGTGCCAAGTTGGCTCATTATAATTACTTGAGTGCACAGAGAAAAATGTTTTGGTCAAAGTGGTGCGCAATGGACCGAGTAAATACTGTTATATATATTCCATTAAATTGTTACATACGAGTATATGCAACTTGATTCAATAAGAGAAGCAGAGACTCCTGATAATAAACTGACAGTGCTAATGTTCATTAATCAATTCCATTGGCGGCGTCCACAAATCGATGACATCTTCGGTTCGCAGTGAAAGTTGCCTTAGTCGAATCCAAGTTTTTCATTGATTTCTGTTTATTTTCTATTTCACCTTCGATTTCGACTTGGATGGCGCGGAATGCAACTGAAGAAAAGTAAACACAAGCACACAAAGCAAACAAACCGTCACTTTCGATGGGTTTCTATCAATTATGAAAATTAAGCCATCACCAAATTGACAAATGATCCATCTTTGGCTCTTTCAAACACATGTATACCGCATAAGACCCCCACATTTCCGATACGTTGACATCGGGACCAATTTCCGCTGATTAGCATAGTGGAACCGTGTAATCCCGTCGAACTGGTGCAGCCAGTTTGTCTCCGAGGGTCTTTCGCTTTCGGCGGATATACTTATATCCGAAATTAAAATAATTCCATAGTTGGGCTCTTGATTTCTTCGACTTTCACAAGAACGAGCTACACGGGTTTCGAGGATCGGGGTCACTGATGGGGTCAGGGTGAATCCAAGGGTTAAGCCGCGGCCAACAAGCGAACAAACAAACAACAAGCGTTTATTTGCTGTCGCTTTATGGCCATTAAACTTGATCTCTAAACTGGCGAGAGCCATTCAAAGTACTTGTATCCGCAGCCGTAGCAAACTTTGCCTATAAGATCGTATTTCAAACTGCCAGCACAGAGATTAAATGATGGCCGTTTCGGCTGAGTGGGCCTTTGTTATTAGAAGCCAGACGGGCTAAGAGGTGCAGGAAAATCGCTGACAGCTTTATTATGTTTGTTTTTGTTTGTCCCCCACTTAGGCGGATTTACCCACAAAGCAATTCAGATCCTAAATGATACTTATTAGACTCAATGATAATTTGTTTTTAAAAAAAGAATTCAGAATTACGATATCAAGTATTTCTTTTTTTTGTATTTCTTTGTTATGCTTCCCCATAGAATGTGTAATATCCACAGCTGCTGGCAAGCTATTTATTTGTTAATTTCTTTTTCTTTTGTATTCTTTTTGATTTAAAAGTGGCTTTATTTGGTTGTAAAATGGCATTACATCGATGAAGCCAACGAATTGTCTACCGCTGAATTTTGCACTTACTAAAATCAAATTCACGACTTTACGTGGGCCATCAAAATTGATACGATCGAGTCGTAAATCGTATTTATAAACATTAAATCATTTGCGGGGCATTCAGACCGCCCTTCTCGCGGCTCCCCTTTTGTGCAAATTCATCGCAGCGATTGGCGTCAGACGATCGCAATGACATCCCCGATTCACAATCGCAGTCGCATCCACCTGTTAATTTATTAATGAGTTGCAGAAACCTGTTTGGGCTTTACATAAATACTCGCGTATAATCTTTACAAAATGTGCCCGCCAGTCGTTAACGGCAAATGCTTTTTAACTCTCTTTTCTTGGTGAATCGCGAGAATAACTTTCGCAAAAATCCATAAAAACATTGGTTTTCAGCAGAGGCATTTGTGTGTCATTTGGGGCGTGCTGGCCAAGTTTTATGAGTGCGACAGAAATTGGCCAGCATAAGAAATTAGCATAAAAAACTAAGGTCAGTCGACGAACGCCTTACGCATTCGAAGTGAATTAAAGCCAGCTGTATACGAGCCATGTTTGTTTGATTTTGTTACGGTCACTTTGCGTAATCTGATGTGCTATTATGACCGCTTACACGGGCCGCTTACAAAAATGCGCGGCATTGAACGGATCGCGGCTCAAATGCCAATCCACATGGGCCCAATACAAAAGACTTAGGCAACGAACGCACAGCATCTCGACAGGGCAGCGTAAACAAAATGATAAAAACAATAAAAAATTCAACTAACTGCCATTATAAACCATTTGGCAAATGAATGCGAAATATTCGTTATAAAACTGACACATATATGGTATGGCCGAAAGTGCTCAGGTTCGTTTCGAACAAGTGTACAAATTACAAATTGGTTTTTGTTCGACTTTGACAGTTCAAATTACTTCTGAAGAGTCAAGATGCGCTCCAAGGTTCCCCCACCTGTGCCGTGTATATGTTTCCAACCAGTTTGTTTAGCCAAGTGGACCCCACCCACCTCCTCACCCTCGAAACGACCATTAGACAAACCTGCCCGACGTCGACGTCAACGACGGCAAATCAGATTCTGATTCTGGTTTCGTTTGCCCTCGCGCATTCTCACTTTTTGATTTTTCTTTCTGCTTTTTGTTTTGGCCGATGGCTTTCTGTTTGAAGCTGTTACTTTTCGGGGCTTATTGGCATTTTTTGTTTATTGGGCGATGGAATTCGCTGCGTGTAAGTATGTTAATAATAGAGCTTGATGCGAGTGCCAGTAAATACGCTTTTAATGCCCCCCAAAATATTATGGGGGACGAGGCTCATTGAGAACCTGCGTGGCGTGGGTAGCCTGCCACAATCTCACACCGACTTGCCCGGGCTCATGTGCCTGTGTTAGACGTTAGATGTTGGTGGATGCCATCCGGTTTTGGCCTTTGCAGCTGCCAATGCTGCTCGGCTGCATTCCGGGCATGACTAAGAGAGCCGCGAGTCGCGGGAGTTATTACCCTCAAGGTCACTTCTGCCTAAGCTTCTGTTTCTCCGGCGGTCCAATCTCGGCATGACACGGCACTGTGTGGTCAAATCGATAGTGCGCAAATGGAAATAATACTCAGCAAGGTGATCATCATTGTTGGATGTGTGAGTGTGGAAGGGGTTGGTTCACAATGTGCGCTTATTTAGGCGATGAATTCTTAAACCATGTTCCTCCTTTAAAATATGTAAAATGTGCTTATAATTGTTGATTACAATATTAATTGATAGGTCTATCTAATTATATACTTGTTTTGATTCTTTTAGATCCTTTAGCAGCATATCATAGCTAGGTAATATGATCGGTGTTCAGCGAAGTAAAACCATATAATTTAACGAATAGAAATAATTAGAAATTAATTTTCTCCATGTACATACCTACACCCAGCTTTATGCCTGATTGGCTTAGAGGGTCGGCCATTAGCAGGGAACTTAGCTAAGCGGCTTAAATGGAATGGAGACAAACAGTTATCGAGGTGATGAAAACAAAGGAGAATTAATTAGATTCCGCTGCTGGATAAGGTAGACTAATGAAAGCTAAGAAGTCTGAAGTCGCCAATGGAGTTGGTCTCTGGAATACAGGTGACTCAGAGCGAGTTCGAAGTTTCTTTTTATTTGCCTGTGATTAATGGACTTACAGAGCGTATACGCGATTTCTGCGTTCATGCCATTCTTGGCCGACTCGCCCGGAATTGGTTTTTAGAAGTGATCTCATCTGCCGCCGCAGCTTCGGTTCTGGCAACCCACATCGATCTCCGTGGAACAATCCCAAAAAGCAGCTGTCAGCTGCCAAATGCTAATATGCAATAAATTATGCCTGCCACAGTGTGTGCGTATCGTATCGAATCGAATGGAAACGAGTGTGTCTATAATTACACAGGCTTCGTGGCGATTTTCACTTTTTTCCCTTCTTCCGCTGCGACATGTGCAGAGAATTCCAAAATATGCGCCCGTTTGCATTGCCAATTCAGCGAGCATTCCTGCTGCTTCTTTTTCTTGCTCTTCCTGCAAGACACATACTTATGTATATGTATGTAGGTTCAAGTACGCATGTACATATGTATATGGTATATGACCACACACAACAGCAAAACTACACGCCGAGAAAATGTTTACCCATCAATATGTAAAACTTAAAATAATAGCAAGACTATATAATTTGATGGATTGCTTCGAAAACAACATTGCCTGTTCAAAAATCAAGTTTATATAGAATACAGAAATTCGAGCCAACTACGTAAGATTATAATCATATATGAAATATGTATATTCCATCCCATCTTACTTTTCAAAATGTGCTTGTATAAATGGTTTCGAGGAGGATGCATTTCAAGGAAACTCACCTGAAGGAGGAGAACGACCCGTCGTGGCAAATGCCAGTAAAGATGTGGGCGGCGATAAGTTACGAAAAGCGCAGGCGCACTGGAAGATCGCAATCCGAATCGGAATCCAAAGCTAATCAAAAGTTGCAACACGCACGCGCTGCGTCGAGGGGCAACGAGGCAAGGCAACGAGGATGAAGGGTGGTGGAGACCACGACACACGATCAAAGTCAAAACAATGCGGCCGCGGCACTTTAAACTCTTTTTTATTTGGTTTCTTCAGCGTTCTCCGCTGGGGATGCACACCGCGCAGTTGCAATTCCAATTCCAATTGCAGCGGATTGCACCCACAGGTAAGTACTGAGTACTTTACACTCGGCGTTTGTGGGAGGTGATGTGTTAATCAATCAGCGAGCGCTCATCGAAGGTACACTATTTGCCACATTGATTTGGTTACTTCTGGCGGATTTGTTCGTCTGTTACAATGTATTTTTGATTTCTCGTATTTTGTTGCAACGGCTGTACGTGACTGCCGCGCACTTGCACAACAACCACAAAAATCCAGGGGATCCACGCTCCGGAAGGCACGAAAAATTCGACGACACCGCAAAGCGCAGCAGGAAATGGCAGACTCAAGCGCACCACACGTCCGCACTCCAGTGCGTCTCGATCGAAACTGAGCAGCGCAGCGGATAGCAGATGAGCTGCGCACAGCGCTCTCACCTGAAGCTCTGCTCGAAACTCTCTCTCTCTCTCTCTCTCTGGGATCGTTTCTCTCCGGATCTGGCAACGCCGAGAGTTCGGCTTAGGTTTCAGGGCCTCCAAATCGCAGATATGCTTTGAACTCATAAATATTTCAATGTAATTGTTGAGCTTATAATATATATTTATATTTTTTAAACTATTTCCTGTTTTCTTGCTTATTACGACTCCTGATCGGAGTCTATGCCATCGCAATCAATGGCCCCACACGATGCTCTCGATCCAGTCGGTGTAGAGGTGGACCTTGGTGTAGACACTCGGCAGTCCTTGGGAGCCACAAACCAATCCATAAGAGACAATGCCGATCACCTGCTTCAGGCACGGATACAGCGGGTGCTGCACGAATATAGGGCCGCCGGAGTCACCGTTGCAGGTGTCCGCTTGGGTGGACATGGAGCCGGCACAGAACTGGGTGCGTGTATCGATGTTGAAGCGCAGGCGTTTCTGGCATACCTCGTTGCTGAATCGCTGGAGATTGACCTTCAGCAGGTGAGAGGACTTCACCCCGTCCGCGGTAAATCCCCAGCCGGCGGCTGTGACCTGCTGAGCATCGTTGCCGCTGCCGGGCGGAAGGCAAACCGCCGCCACATGGTCATTGAACGCAGCCTCTCGATCCAGCTCCACCAGGGCAATATCGTTCTTAAAGCCCTGCTCTTCGTCTTCAGTATCATATCCAGGGTGCACCACATAGTTGACCACCCGAAAGTCCTGAACCAGAGCATCATCGGTGGTGCTGTTGTAGTCCAACTCCCCCAGACGAACTACAAATTTGGGCGAATCAAAATTGGGGTCCAGGCGTTCGGCCTTCGATCTGGCAATTGAAATTACACCAATTGAAAGGGTATCACTCAAGAGGATCTCTAGCTACTTACTCGTCCGTCTCCAGGCAATGGGCCGCTGTCAGTATGAATTTGGGATGCACCACCGATCCTCCACAATCCCAACTAATGTCGGACTTGTTGGGCCGATGAGTACCGATTAGGGCCATGAAGGGGAACTCTTTACCGGATGCCTTTGTGCCGCCCACAATGAAGGGCGTGGACTGGCAGGCGGATCTGACCACGTTGTACTGCTTGCACTCTGAAAAAAGTGCGTATTCAAATGCCATCAATCGAAGGGAATTGTTGCAGGCACGCCTCACGCTTTTCAAAAGGCCTCATCTGTTCGACAGGCTTCAGATTCTGATGATCCAGCGGTATGGGGCAGCAGACAATGTCGTTGAACTCGTCGCAGTACTTGACTTCGGCTCCAATCAGGTGCTGGTTGTAGAATATTACTGGGCAGTCGGAGGGAGTCAGCTCCTTGCACTCGCCCGTCCCATTGTCGCAGTACTCGGCCACCACCACGCTGACTGAAGCAATCAGCCACAGGCACTGGATTCCGGGAAGCGCATTCATCGCACTGCTCTGCGATCACAACTGAGAACGCCGCTCGAGGTTGGCAAGATCAACTACCACAGGTGATCTTCTAAAAGCTTTAAGCTTGACTCAATAAACCAAGCTCTTGATCGACACTGATAACAGCCAAATGTGATTTATAAAAAGTTTCTTAGTCTCTTACTTAACATATCTGAGAACTGTTTGCACATTAAATGGAAAATGAATAATGCAATAAGCGGTACAATTTAAGATAATACTACTTTTAACTTAGCTTATGTCGTTATGTCAGCTTGAACTTAACTAATTGTGTCGCATATTTTGCATGTGCTGCTGCTGCTGCATGTGCTGCATGTACATCTGTTGCTGCTGGTTGATTTGCTGATGCTGCTGTAGGCTGCCACCGCTGCCCAGAGGCACGCTGGTTGTTTGCACTGCGCTGATTTGTTGCTGCTGCATTTGTTGTTGCTGTTGTGGCTGATGCGGTTGCTGATGTGGTTGCTGCGGCTGTTGCTGATGCTGAGTTTGCAGTGGGGATTGTGTTTGATTTGTTATTGCATTACTGCTGGCATTGTCGTTGCTAAAATTTCAAAGAGTCATGTTAAACCCAAATTTGACTTTGTTTTAAGTTGTTCTTACATCTTCTCCGAGTGAATATCCTCCAAGTTAAGATGGGTTATGAACCTAAGACGCATTTGTAGCAGCGGTCGTAGTCGCTTGATGATGGCTTCCGATTCGTTCTTAATGATATTACCCACATGTATATATTTAATGTGGTAGCTGGAATTATATAAACACATAAGTTAGTTCATTTTTATGCGATTCTGTGGATATGCTTACAGGAAATCGCAAATCTGGTCCATGTACTGCAAAGGCTTCGGACCATGTTGCTTGTCCACGATCTCTAGAATTTCGTAGAGCAACACGGCAATGCCAGCCACAGCGTTCGGTTTCTCCAACTCGATGCGCTGCAGAAAGGGCCCAAAGACATGGCACAGATACAGCAATTGCTGCTCGGTTCGCACGCACGGCTTTAGCTTCTCCTTGAGGTACCTGGTCATTGCCGCCAGCTTAAAGGCGCCCATGTGATGAAACACTGAGTGGGCTACTGCCAACACCACGGCGTAGGTCTTTTCCAGCATCGCCTCGCGCACTGTCTTAAAGTTAAACAACTCGAAAGCATTGAATCTGTAGTTCCAATTCAGCATATTAGGCGTGTTGAGCATATCCTGTAGGCGATCGTATATGCCACTCCAGTAGGGCTCTGGCAAGGCGGCGAGAACTATGCCCACAGCATTGATATAGCTATGAATATCCTTCTGCGGAATAACCGCATATCCGCTGACTATAACATCAATGAGATTGCTGGCCACCAATGGCGGTGCCACCGGCAGACCCAGCAGCTCCACGCAGGTCACATAAAGCGCATGGGTTGGGGCGTTTGGGAACTCATTGAAACGCCAGTCGGTGGAATAAAATACATTCTTCCCACTGATCGCTGCAAAATGAATAAGGAACACATGAATGTAGGAACACATCATAGTCTATATCCAAATCCTAGCTTACTGTCTGCAAGTCTCCTGATCAAACTCATATAGTAGCTCAATTCGGGGGTCCATAGCGAGTCTTGGCCTTGCAAATACACCTTATACGGCTCACTAACACTCCAGTTGGCCGGACGAATCTCACTAAAGGCACTGGTAATAGCTCCAACCAGTTTTTTCTTTAGCGCAGGGCGGTCGCGTAGGATTCGCTCATAATAATGGAGAGTGTTGTACAGGTAGGTAATAGGGCGATCTGCAATTCAAAGTCTTGAACGTTGTGAAAATCTTGAAAGCCGCTTTCAACATACCGTGAAACTTGTAGAGTATGCTCAGGTGATCCAAAATGAAGCCCAGTATCTGATGGACATTTGTAATTGTAAGTTCGATAAATCTGTGCACCACCACATCCAGAACGGGTAGAAATCGCAGGCAAACATTGCTGAAGTACACGGGCAGCGGAATCTGCGAAGCCGACTCGTCCAAGGCGAACTTCTCTGGATACTTTTGATGGAATGACAAGTGCTTGTCCTGCCTGAGAAAGATAAAAACTATGCCTTTGTGCCTCTAATAAAATCAAATATGCAACTTACCAGTTGCTCTGCTTCCAGTGGTCAGGATTATTGTCCTTGCAGAACTCCTGAACACGATTTCTCAGCTCGCTGGCTTTTAGCAACAGCAGCTGGATTATGAGAAAGCAGACTTGAGCCTCGTTACCCTCGTGCGTTCGCAGAGCCAGGCAAAGCACAACCCTATCAATGGTCACAACATTGAACTTCCAGATCATGTTGTTAATCGTGTCGACGCACTTGTGTATAAAGTCGCGGCCATCCGATGAGCTAGCCACCTCAGCCACCAAGTAGTCACAAAATTTGCGCAAGTGAGTTGACAAGGCTCTCGCGCTAATACCCTCTAAGATTCTAAAAAGAAATGATGGTCAGAAAAACAATGATGTTTAAATTAAAAGGTAACGCACTTGTAAGCCACTGGGCTTATGTTCTCCGTCTCCCAAATAATTTTGAACAGAAGGCAAAGGAATAAAGGATTTGTAGTTGGACGCAGAAAGTGGGCAATTATATCATTTTCGTTGGTCATCGACGTCCAAGTTCGATATTCCTCTTCCACGGCCTTTTTCAGCTGCTGCTTGTTCTCCGGAGGTTGGTTGTTCTGCGTAAAGTACTCATTTAAGGCTGGCGGAAAGCAGGCTAGGGAATGCATGGGCCACGAGTGTGGCGTGTGCTGAATGATATTGGAAAGAAAGTCCTTGCACCACCCCTGCATTTCATCGCCTCCACCATGTACGTGCATGGATCGAGCTAGCGTAAGGATAAGGACTCTGTTTAGCTCTTCACTTTCATTAGACGCCACTGCTCCGGGAGATTTGTCATTGAAGTAACGCGAAAATTGGGGTTGAAACTCGGCGGATCCAATGCTGGTGATCAGACGCAGAGCGGTAGATTCAAAACTAAACGAAAAAAGAGCTCAGCATGATTTTTATACTTGACAAACATATAACTTACCAAAGATTAAGCTGCATCTTATTTGTTTGCGGTACAGAGGACAGCGAATGGAGAAGAGATAACAATTGGACCCGATAGTGCGTAGGCACATGGTGCAGCCGGTACGAAAACATCTCCATCAAGGTGTGCAGCATGGCCCACGCATGGTTCTTAAACACCGTTGGCATTAATTGACCTTCAGAGAAATAAAAAAAAGTCATAAGCATATAGTTTGATCAATGCAAGAGGCTGTACTTACTCAGGAATCCCTTTATGCCGAGGGACTCGATTTCTGTATAAACCAAAAGTCTGGCATATGTTTCCAGTAGCGCAGCCGCTGGAACTTGACCCTTGGTTTGGGCCTGCTTTAGCATCTGAGTTACGAAGCTGTGAATTAACGACATTTTGCTGTGCACGGTTAGGCTGTCCAGAACCGTGACCGAAAAAGTTACGGCTGGTATCTGGCCTCCGTTTGGAGATTTTGAAGTGCCATTTAGAGCATCCAGCAGCAGACCCATAGGACGACCGAAGTACTCCTGATTCGTCGAATACGCGTTGCAGATGAGAATGATTCGGAAGTCGTTTCCCAAAGTCATGTTCATCATGGTGTTAGCGGTGACCAGGTGCTGTAGAAAGCTGTGGATTGAGCCGTTTATATTTAAACGTAAAGCAAAGGAAAGATAGAGGTATTACTCGTAATGGTTTTTCAGTGCAATGGGCAATGGTCTAGTGATGTTCATATTCTCCACTCGTGCCTTTTTCATCAGGTGAATCCACACGCAAATGGGAGCCATATGGCGAACCATAGAGGATTTATTGATATCTGGCAGCTTAAGTGGCTCTAGCTCGGGATAGAGTAGGTCAAACAACCTGAACACAGGCAGGAAATTGGTGATCTAAAAATAAAAGCCATTAAAATTTTGATCGATCAGGTAGAGAGCAGGCCTTTTGCGCTTACAGGGTTTTTCTGTATGCTTCCGGATATAAACTGCAAAAGAATCCACATCAGTTGATCACGGCCCTTGCGGAGCTCTAGCTTTGAAAGCTATAGGTGGAAAGTAGTTAGTTACAAGAAATATCAGTTTGATTCAACAAGGACCTACCTTTTCGTGCAGGGCCAACACAATGTGCATAAAGCTCACGAATTGGAAAAGCACAAAGTAAATAAGTTGTGAGGAGAGATGCAGCCACACCCACTCGTAGGGCGTGATCTGCTCGTCTGAGGAGTTAAAGCCACTGCCCGCAGTGGCGTCATTCGCCTCCGTCATCTCCATGGCCTGTACTATGAGATTAACCAGCTGCTCTTCGAGGGCATTGTAGCGCTGCTTCTGATGCTTTTGCAGGTTCAGCATTTGAGAGACCATTTCCCTCGAGTAGGGCTGCTCCAGAACGTAGCGGAGTAGGGGCTTCTGCTCCTCGAGTAGCTCTGGCTCGTAGGGCAGGCTGCCCTTAAAGTTAAACTTCAAGGTGTTGTGATCTAGCCGCCAAGAGTTCATCATATGATCGGCGTAGCCGAAATGCTCTACGATGGGAAGCATGCTGGCGTGCCCGATGATCGAAACCATTTGTGCCGTTGTGCGGAACTCCTCGACAAAGTCAGTCATCAGTCGGTTGAGTTTCCAGTGGTAGGGAAACGGACGCATAATCTCGTTGGCAATAAAGTAGGCGGGCAGCAGGCAATTGTTGCGATCGAAGATGAAGCGCAGGATATCCTCGACGGCCAATAACTGTGGCATGTAGGTCACGTTGACGTTCAGTGGAAACCACTGAGCCTTGTCGCGGCACACCTTCATGATCTCGCGTACACCCTTGTAGTCCACTTGGACGATCACGCGCTTGATCAGCCGGAAGCTCTCGATCCAGAAGGTCTTGTGCTCGAAGTCCAGTTTCTCGCACATCAGCACCTTGTCACAGAGCATCCTGGCGGTGATCACATGTGCGTCCACCAGCTTGACCAGTGCCGCCATCAGCACCTTAATGTGATAGCCGGAGGCGCCGGCTGCACGCAGCAGGTAAAGGCGAAGCACCTGCTCCCGGTTCTCCTGCGCCACGTTCCCAAAGGCGG